ATGCCCGCAACAAAAACAAAATTTGAACATATTTTACACGATAAAAGACTAATTAAGAAAACATTCAATTCCAAGTATGATAATAGACCATATACTTACAATGCTTATAAGGTTTAATGTGTTCTTTTCATGACAAATAGAGTTATTCTTTTGACTACTCACAATCTTTAAACTCATAACACCAAAACAGAAAACATCTGTTTTAATTGAGAATTGTCAATGTGTGATATATTTTGGGGTTATATATCCACTGTGATTCAACATTTTTAAATATGATCAAAGAGTATGAAGTGATGAAATAGGCAATGAAGGGATTTTGATACTTACTATGTCCTAACAATTTTACCTGTAGTATCATGAGCAACGTCAACCACAAACAACCTCCCCAAACCAAAATTTGCAATTTTAGGGTTCATATCTCCACTTAAAAAAATGTTACTTGCTTTTAAATCGCGATAAATAATTTTGAATCTAGAATTTTCATGAAGATAAAGAAGCCCTGAGGCAATCCCTCCTATGATTTTGGAATGCCCTTCCCAATTCAATTGCGCATGTTTGACAAGCTCTATATGTACATTCTTATATTAGTCATTATTAATTGATACACAGTCTGAAATATCCACCTCATAATAAAATAAAATTAAAAAGGGATATGTCATCACATACCAAATATGACATGATCAAGACCCCCATTTGGGATAAATTCAAAGATGATAAGTCCTTCATTTCCTTTCGAGCAGAAACCAAAGACCTTGACTAAATTGCGGTGTTGAAGCTTGGCCAGTAAGAGTATCCCGTTCTTAAACCCTGACTCTCCCTGTCTAGAATCATTGAATAGCCTTTTCACCGCTACAACTTGTCCTTTTGAAAGTTGACCCTGTAAATCAATTAGTAACTACTACATTTGAGTCCAGTTACTGAAATTTAATACATACAGATGACAACAAATGTTATAAATTTCTTATTCTAATGGTCATCATAACCTTATAAACAGCTCCAAAACTACCTTGTCCAAGCTTAATTTCGTCACTGAAGTTATTAGTAGCAGCTCCCACAGTGGCAAAGTCATATTGCGAAGACTCTGCCTCAGTCATGTCATCTGTAGCTAAAAAAAAAAAAGCAACAAAAAATCAGAAGCTTTTTCGAGAACAAAGTGTTAGAATACATTATATTCGAAGATTAGAAGTTTCTTCCTGCTTTTTTTTTTTAACTGAAATTTTGTTCTTGAAGATTTGAATGAATGAAGTAAATATATCAAGATAATTTAGGGGGAAATTAATGTTACATTCATCTTTAACTCTTCGTTTTCGGAGTCTTAAACTAGTCCAAATACATAGGACAAGCAACAGAATGCTGAGAATTGAAGCGCCGACCACAACGATCATTCCTCGTATTCTGTTGATTCCATTTCCTGCAAAAGCAAAATTTGAAGATGATTCCAAACTCCTACTATAATTGAATTGAAGAAAATCAAGATATTTTACCAACTAAATACCAGGAACGATATAGAAAACATTAAAATATTATTAATGATATAGAAAACACATAAAAAAGATTTATTAAAGATATTTGAATAATATTAGAAAGAGTCTTAATATTTAAAGTGTCAAGAAGTATTAAAATAGATTAGGAACAATCTTGTTTAATTTTTAACAGGCTAAATGACCTTTTGGTCTCCAAACTATAGGTGTGATATTGAATTTGTCCACAATGTCTTTTTTTTTTTTTTTTTTTCGTTTGTATCCTCAAATTTTCAGACGTGTTAACATAAATTATTTTCAATCCTCTACCCGCTCACTACGTAATCACCAAGTCACACAGTAGAACAAAAAAATGGGGATGGTAATGTTTGGAACTCAAACTTTTAAGAGTTTATCTAACACATATCTTTAATATACATATTAGAAGTATAATAAATATATTTTTTTATAATTAATTTACATAAAAAATTATAAAAATTGATATTTATTTTAATGCTATTGACACGTGATTCATTTTAATTAGTTAATTGATTAAACAAAAATCAATATTTATAGTTTTAATGAGAATTAATTATAAAAAATGTATTAATTACACCATTAGGACACATGTTAGGAACTTTTAATACCTTTCCGTTAATCCCTTAGAAAAGAAATACTCTTAGGCCCCGTTTGGTATAG